TCTGTTCATGTTCTTTGCCCACTTTTGGATGGGGGTTTTTTTTTTTTCTTGTAAATCTGTTTTAGTTCTTTGTAGATTCTGGATATTAGCCCTTTGTCACATCGGTAGATTGCAGAAACTTTTTCTCATTCTGCTGGTTGCCAGTTAACTCTAATGACTGCCTCTTTTGCTGTGCAGAAGCTCTGTAGTTTGATTAGGTCCCATTTGTCTATTTTGGCTTTTGTTGCCAATGCTTTTGATGTTTTAGTCATGAAGTCCTTTCCTATGCCTATGTCCTGAATGGTTTTGCCTAGGGTTTCTTCTAGGGTTTTTATGGTGTTAGGCCTTATGTTTAAGTCTTTAATCTATCTGGAGTTAATTTTAGTGTAAGGTGTCAGAAAGAGGTCTAGTTTCTGCCTTCTGCACATGGCTAGCCAGTTTTCACAAACCATTTATTAAACAGAGTCCTTTCCCCATTGCTTGTTTTTGTCAGGTTTATCAAAGATCAGATGGTTGTAGATGGGTGAGGTTGCCTCTGAGGCCTCTGTTCTGTTCCATTGGTCTATATCTCTGTTTTGGTACCAGTACCATATTGTTTTGATTACCATAGGCTTGTAGTATAGTTTGAAGTCTGGTAGTGTGATGCCTCCAGTTTTGTTCTTTTTGCTTAGAATTGTCTTGGCTATGTGGGCTCTCTTTTGGTTCCATATGAAGTTTAAGGCAGTTTTTTCCAGTTCTTTGAAGAGGGTCATTGATAACTTGATGGGGATAGTGTTGAATATATAAATTACTTTTAGTAGTATGGCCATTTTCACAATATTGATTCTTCCTAACCATGAGCATGGAATGTTTTTCCATCTTTTGTGTTCTCTCTTATTTCCATGAACAGTGGTTTATAGTTCTCCTTGAAGAGGTCCTTTACATCCTTTGTTAGTTGTATTCCTAGGTATTTTATTCTCTTTGTAGCAATTTTGAATGGGATTTTGTTCTTCATTTGGCTCCCTTTAAGTCTGTTATTGGTGTATAGGAATGCTTGTGATTTTTGCACTTGATTTTGTATCCTGAGACTTTGCTGAAGTTATCAGTTCCAGGAGATTTGAGGCTGAGACAATGGGGTCTTCTAAATATACAATCATGTCATCTGCAAATAGAGACAATTTGACTTCCTTTTTTCCTAATTGAATACACTTTATTTCTTTTTCTTGCCTGAGTGCTCTGGCTAGAACTTCCAATACTATATTGAATAGGAGTGGTGAGAGAGGGCATCATTGTCTAGTGCCAGTTTTCAAAGGGAATGCTTCCAGTTTTTGCCCATTCAGTATGATATTGGCTGTGGTTTGTCATAAATAACTTTGATTATTTTGAGATACGTTCCATCGATACCTAGTATATTGAGAGTTTTTAGCATAAAGTGCTGTTGAATTTTGTCAAAGGCCTTCTCTGTATCTATTGAGATAATCATGTGGTTTTTGTTTTTGGTTCTGTTATGTGGTGGATTATATTTATAGACTTGCATATGTTGAACCAGCCTTGCATCCCCAGGATGAAGCCTACTTGATCATGATGGATAATCTTTTTGATGTGCTGTTGCAATTTGTTTGCCAGTATTTTATTGAAGATTTTTGCATCTATGTTCATCATGGATATTGGCCTGAAGTTTTCTTTTCTTGTTGAGTCTCTTCCAGGTTTTGGTATCAGGATGATGTTAGTCTCATAAAATGATTAGGGAAGGATTCTCTCTTTTAGGATTGTTTGGAATAGTTTCAGAAGGAATGGTACAATCCTCTCTTTGTATGTCTGGTAGAATCAGGGTTTCGGCTTCTTCCTGGTTTAGGCTTGGGAGGGTGCAAGTGTCCAGGAATTTATCCATTTCTTCCAGGTTTACTGGTTTGTGTGCATAGAATTGTTTGTAGTAATCTCTGATAGTCGTTTGTATTTGTGTAGAATCAGTGGTGATATCCTCTTTATCATTTTTTGTTGCATCTATTTGATTATTCTCTTTTCTTTTTTATAAATCTGGCTAGTGGTCTATTTTGTTGATCTTTTCAAAAAATCAACTCCTGTATTTATTGATTTTTTGAGGGTTTTTTTTTTGTCTCTATCTCCTTCAGTTCTGCTCTGATCTTATTTATTTCTTGTCTTCTGCTAGCTTTGAGGTGTTTTTTTTTTTTTTTTCTTGCTCCTTCAGCTCTTTCAATTTCGAGATAGGGTGTCTATTTTAGATTTTTTCTTGCTTCTTATGTGGTCATTTATTGCTATAAATTTACCTCTAGACAGTGCTTTAAATGTGTACCAGAGATTCTGGTATGTTGTGTCTTCGTTCTCGTTGGTTTCGAAGAACAGTTTTATTTCTGCCTTCATTTCATTGTTTATCCAGTCAACATTCAACAGCTAGTTGTTCAGTTTCTATGGTTCTGAGTTAGTTTCTGAACCCTGAGTTGTAATTTGATTGCACTGTGGTCTGAGAGGCTGTTTGTTATGATTTCTGTTCTTTTGCATTTGCTGAGGAGTGATTTACTTCCAATTACTGGTCAATTTTAGAATAGGTGTGATGTAGTGCTGAGAAGAATGTATATTCTGTGGATGTGGGGTGGAGAGTTCTTAAAATGTCTATTAGGTTTGCTTGGTCCAGATCTGAATTCAAGTCCTGAATATTCTTGTTAATTTTCTGTCTTTTGATCTGTCTAATATTGACAGTGGAGTGTTAAGGTCTCTCACTAATATTTTGTGGGAATCTAAGTCTCTTTATAGGTCTTTCAGAACTTGATTTATGTATCTGGGTGCTCTTGTATTGGATGCATTTATATTTAGGATAATTAACTCTTCTTGTTGCATTGATCCTTTTACCATAAGTAATGCCCTTCTTTGTCTCTTTTGATCTTTCTTGGTTTAAAATCTGTTTTATCAGAGACTAGTATTGCAACTCCTGCTTTTTTTTTTGCTCTCCAGTTGCTTGGTAAATCTCCCTCCATCCCTTTATTTTGAGCCTATGTGTGTCCTTGCATGTGAGATGGGTTTCCTGGATACAGCACACCAATAGGTTTTGACTTTTTGTCCAGTGTGCCAGTCTGTGTCTTTTGATTAGGGCATTTAGCTCATTTATACATCTTTTTCAGAGCTGGACCAGCAATCCACCTCGGTAATGGTTGAATGGCCATCCCCCAACAGAGCTGGACCATCCCTTCCAGATTGCTGGTCTTTGTGGGGGTGGGACCCACTGAGCCAGATCACCTGGCTTCCTGTTTCAGCCCCTGTTTTTCAGTTGAATGGGTGGCTCTGTCTCCCAGGGGTTCCAGGTGCCAGTTGAAATGACCGCTGAGATTCGTGTGAGTTTTTGTGCAGAGACCTGCTGCGCCAGCTGAAACAGCCATCCTGGAAACTCATGGCGCTTTTCAGCTCACGAATCTCCTGGTCTGTGGGCAGTAATAATTCATTTGGAAATGTGGTGTTCACTCACCCTCTGCCTTCTTCTTACTGGGAACTGCACTTCAGAGCTGTTCCTATTCTGCCATCTTGGATCCTCTCTGCCCACAATCTTAATAATATGAGAGAATCTATTCCTATAGAATTTTCTAAATCCTTGATTTTAAAACAATTAAAAATTTGCCAGTTTTTTGGGGGGAGAGAAATAGTTTATTACATTGCTGTTTGTATTTGGATTTTTTCTGTTCATTGGTGAGTTTGAGCAAATATTTATATTTATTGATTATTAGAACAGATAGTCTATATCCTTTGCCCAATTTTCTACGGCATTTCAATTAACACATTTATTACTTAGCTAACAATTTTTCATAGAAAAGTTAGCCCATTGCCTGCCTTATGTAATCAAAATTTTTCCTGAGCTTCATATACTTCTTTTAATTTTGTTATTTTCTTCATGCAGATAAATCAGTAATTTTCTTCAAAATTTTTTCATTTGTGTCTTCTGGATTTTGTCTTGCTTACAAAGTCTTATTGTTAAAAATGAATTATTTTAACACGTTTACTAAAGCATAATTTACATACTACATACTAAAAAATTCACTGATTTTATATGTAAAATTTAATGATTTTAGTAAATTAATAGATTTGTTCAATTATCACAATCCAGTTTTATATCATTTGTGGGGTCCAACATTTCTCTATTTATAGCTAATTTCCAGCAAAACCCTGAGCCCTGGGCACTGAATGATCTCCATTTGCATCTATAAATTTACCTCTTGTAGATATTTGAAGTAAATGAAATCATACAACATGTAAACTTTTGTGTCCACTTTCCTTCACTTAGTTAACATTATTGAAGTCCACCAGTTTTTTAGTATGTATCATCATTTTGTTTCTTTTATTTCTTTTTTCTTGTTTTCATTTGCATAAATTTATAAGGTACAAGTGTAGTTTTGTTACATGCATAGATTGCATAGTGGTGAAGTCAATGTTTCTACAGTATCCATCACCCCAATCACATGTATTGAACCCATTAAGTAATCGCTCATCATCTAGAGTACAAGGGTTGAAACTTGCCTTGGGAAAACTACAATCAGGTTCATGCTATCTCCCTTGCCAGGTACGTCTATTTTTGCTCCCTTTTACTGTTGAATGATATTGCTTTGCATGTATGTAGTACCATTTTGTTTATCCATTTACTAGTGGAGGGATATTTGGATTGTTTCCAGTTCGGGTCAACTATGGCTAAGTCTGTTCTGAATACGTGAACACAAATCTTTTTGAGGACATATGTTTTTATGTCTCTTAGGTAGGTTCTAAGGAGTGAAGTTGCTGGGTCTTATGGCAAACATATGTTAAGAGTTTTGTGAAATTACCAAATTTCCAGGTATTTGTATAATCATAAACTTCCACCAGCAACGCACAAAAGTTTAGAAAGTCAGATTGTCTTCAGACATAATAATAATGATAGTATTAGAAATATTATCCGTTGGCCTGGTGCGGTAGCTCATGCCTGTAATCCCAGCATTGCCTTTTGAAATGTTAGGTTTACTTTTTAAATTAACAAGTAAAAATTATATAGTATATTTATGTTGTTGAGCATGAAGTTTTGATATATACCTATTTTGTGGAATGTCTAAATCAAGCTATTTAACATATCTATTACCCCTCATACTTATGACATATATATAGAAACCATTATTCTATTGGGAAATAATCTTCCCTTTTTCTTTTCTTTTTATTATTTTTCCTTGGGGCCTGATGGACTAGATGCATTTTAACTCCATGTCTGAGAAAAATGTAATAATGTAGTGTGTTTGTGGCAAAGGGTGAGTACCGATGCAGGGGAGGCAGGAAGGATTAGGTAAAGGGGAGCATAAAAATTGAAGATGAGGAACTGCCATCAATGCTGGGACTTCAGGACTAAGGGCAGGAGTTCAGGAAGCCACAGGGGAGTCATTTTCTGCTGAGTTGCTGAACCAATAGCAACCAGGTCCTGAGAAAGCTCTCTTTTGTGGAAGAATAAGAGCCAAGTGGGAAAGTTTTTAATCCTGCAAAGCTGGGGCAAAAGGTTCTCCTTTGAATGTGGTCATCTTCACTTCAGCTCAAGAGTCCTGCAAAAGACAGAGGAGAGTGTTGTGTTCAGACCTGGCTCTCCTAACAGCTTCTTTTTCCCTCTTTCAAGGACTCAGATGAGAGCACAGCAGGAAGAAGAAAAACAAGTTCCTAAGTCTCCCTGAGTCAATACCTGCAGAGCACAGGCCTTTTCTAAGTGAAGAGGAGGAATTTTGGTGTAACTTGTCTGATCAGAAATTTGGATCCAAAGTCTTGTCTGTGATTTCTGTCTCATGCCTTATCACCACTAACATCTTTCTAGGGACACTGAATCTGTTTCTAAAAGAGGATTAAAAAGTAATACCTGTTGGCTGAAGTCCAGAGTGTCCTGGGAAAAAGAGGAAAAGATATACACTTAAAGGACATGGAAGACAATGAGAACACATGGACATAGGGAGGGGAGCACTACACACTGGGGTCCATTGGGGGGAAATGGGGGAGGGTACGGGGGGGTGGGGAAGTGGGAAGAGATAGCATGGGGAGAAATGACAGATACAGGTGAGGGGACTGGAAGGCAGCAAACCACACTGCCATGTGTATACCTATGCAACAATCTTGCATGTTCTTCACATGTACCCCAAAACCTAAAATGCAATAATAAAAAAAAAAGATATGGAAGTAAATCTGTCCTCCAACACAACGTTCCAGACCCAGACCTCCCACTGAGATTTCTCCTGACACCAGCAACCCACACCAACCAGGGCAGAGAGGAGCAGAAACAGACCATAGGACCTCGAAAGCGTGAAGTGTCTGTCACAGGATCCAGTGTAACTGCATTAGCCTTAGTGGCTCTTCTTTAACTTAGTCCCAGGATCTCGATCGAAAGGACCCTACTTGTTAACCTTTCTCTTATCTCTGCAGGCCACTAGCTATTATGCTGTGACAGAGTAAACACGCACTTATGATTTCTGGATTTGCAGGACAGTGGAGATCATTTGGAGAAAGAAAGGCTTTATACAGGCCCACTCATATACTGAGAACTAACCTCAGCAAAGCATATTTTCTCCTTTCTCCTCCAGAAAAGCCTATGGAGAAAGTCAGCAACCAAAGGCTCCTCACCTTTCTGATTCCTGAAGTGGATGAACAGCCCTGCCCCAGGGAAGAGCAGGCCCAGCACAAAGCCCCCGACTCCACTCAGCAGCTTGCTCTGTGCAGATTCAGACTGTGCTCCTGAGAGAGGAAGCCAGGTTTAGTGATTTTTACCCTGAATTGAACGTCTTTAATTGAGACCCAGAGATTCAGAGCTTTGAACATGGGGAAGATGGCTGCCCTGCAAAAACTAAAATAGCTGGCCATTTCTGGAGAAAAAAAGGGGTTTCAAGCCACATGGAACAGTTACAAAGTTCAGGCATCAAACTCATTCAAATATTATAGCCTTCATGTAACACAAGATTTCAACATCTAGTCAAAGAACATCTGAGACTCAATGAGGTTACGTACTTTGTCTAGAGTGACAGAGCTCATAAAAGGCAGAGCTGAGACTGGACTCCTCTCATGTCAGGAAGGCCCGTACAGTTCTCCTCTTCTCAGTTCAACAAACAACTCAGAGCAACAGCACCAGAAACACAGTCTCATATGCAGAGGAAGGGCCTGGAGCCCAGGGAGAGCTGAAGTCAGAAAGCTGCTCACTCCATTGCACTGTGAGAGGGCTCATTACGCTTGGGTGCTCCACTCGGCAGATGTAAACCTCTCCACTCTGAGGAACTGTTTCCAGCATCACCAGCATCACCAGCATCTGGAAAGTCCAGTCTCCATTGTGGATCAAGCCTGTGAACACCACCCCAGCCTTTTCTTCCTGGCCATTCCAGAACCACCTGACTTCAATGCTGCCCGGAAACCACTCACAGAGCAGACCAGGAGGTTGTGGTGCTGCAGGGGCTGGGTCTTTGCAGGATACACAGTCACCTTAGGAGAAAAAAAGGTAGAGGGAATGAGTCAGGAAGGTAGAGTGAGTTTCCTTGTTTGTCTGTTTGTCTGCTTCTCTGTAAACCCAGGCTCTGGCCTTGACCAGGCCTCCAGCACAGCAGCCATGTGGCCTCATGTCAGTAGCCTGGATTTTAATATTCATACTGGGAACAAGGTTTGAGAGATGTTGTGAAAAATGGTGTTTGTTTCTTCATAGTTTAAAATTGGCATGCATTATTAAAGTGTTTACACATCTTTGAAAATACAGATGGTATTAATATTAATTAAAACTGATTTCTGAGCCAGTTTGTCTAGTTCAAATGCAAGGTCTGCTTTTTACTGGTTGATCTTTTTGATTCTGCTGTGTCTCAACTTTCTCACATATAATGGACAATAATGATACTAATTTATCTCTTGGGGTTATATGAGGATTAACACATGTAAAATATATAAAAGAATAACTGAAGATAGCCTTCAATTTATGAGGTCAGAAAGGTTGTCACGCCATTCCATTATGAGAGGGCTCACCACACTTGGGTGCTCCACTTGGCACCTATTTATCATCCTTGTACAGCTGGAGAGAAAAATATGATTTAAAGCAATGAGGATAGATAAAGGGATAGAGTAAGTTACATGAGGAAACTGAGTATGAAGTTTTAGGAATCCTACCACCATGCACTCACACCTTAGAACACTACAGAAATGGTTCTGCCCCTGGGAAAGTGAAACAGACAGAACTGATTCTCTAAATCTTTAATTTCCTAGAAAAACATGAGTCTTAAAACAGAAGGATTAAGAAAAGTCATTTCAGTTTTGAAAGTTCTTCTATACACATTTAGCCGATCAATGCATGGCCAATGCAAAATAAGCATAACTATCATTAGACCTATCATTGTAAAGTGAATTTTCTTTCCAGCATGACATTTGGATCAAGTCAGGGTCTGGGACTCATTACTTGGCGTTCTTATGCCTAGGAAAATCCCTAACACTCGCAGACTCTCAATAAATACAATTTTTCTTTAAAGAAGGAAGGAGAAACCTGTTGGGAACCAGCCCAACCCTGTACCTCGGTGCCCCGTCTCCTGGCCGTGCTGAGGCAGTGAGAAAAGGAATAAAGACAAAGACACAAGAATAGAATTTGACAGCATGGGTCCAGCGGTCCAACACACTCTCCTGGGGTGATCGGCTTTGGCATGGAGCTCTGGGCTCTGGGCTCCAAAGGCTTTTATTGGGTAAAGTATCTCGTTAATCTTGCAGGCTGTGGGAGGGAGTTGAGGAGGAAGATAGCTATGGGAAGAGCAAGTGTCTGCAGCATTCAATAGCAAACTCGGTTTTCCTAAGAAATGCTAACTAAGGACACTGTGACTTTACCACCCACTGTCTATCCTGGTGTTTTGGCAAGAGAGGTGCAGGGGATAAGGCACCATAAGGTCTGACCACACACATGCATCAAGGAGCTTTTATCTCTCGAGCATTGTGGACACAGAGCAATCGGAATTGCTCCATATTCTGAGAACACAGGCGGAGCCTGTGGCGTTCTGGTGTCTCTGCCCTGCAAGACCTTCTGGCCTTACCAGGTCCCATCTACAAAGACAATCCCAAGTCTTATGAGCAGGGGTTGTATTTCCTTCCCAGAGTCTTTTGAGATCCTCACACAAACTCTAGGTTGGGAAGAGTCCTGGGACCAAAGCAGTTTTTCTTTTCTGCTCTGCAGCCTGTCACACCTCAGTGTTCTGCGGTTGTAGGGCGCTCTCAGGTGGCCTTTACCATAGACCTCCTGTTCACACTTGATTTCTGCTTTTATTTTACCACACCATAGTTTCGATTTGATCCGTGGCACAAATCTCAGTGTATAAAAGGCAAAGCAAGCTTGTAATCATTTAACTATAAGTAACACAGGTCTGCCCTTGCCCATCTCTTCCCACAGAAACCTGGAGACAATATGACAAAATGGTAGATTTAAGATGGATAGTAAATCATTAATAAAAATTTTGCCATGTATTTTATTAAATAAAAATGTTCAAATTCTTAACATGGAAAAGAAATTTCAAAATCAACATACAACACATAAACGAGAAAATGTGAAATCTAATGTCAGTAAAATGGTAATAATCTTACCGTACAAAGAACCCACAAAATCACTGAGAAAAATACTAAGTTCTAGAGGTAACAGACAAAAGATCATTGTTCATTATCTACCAAATACAATAGTGAATTCTTAGAGCAGAAATTATAACTGGCTAATAAAGAAGTCAAAATAACTCAAAAGCATTACAAATCAAAAAAGTATAAATTAAAAATTAATCAGAAACATACATTTTCACTTTTTGGTGAATGTCATAATAAAGGTCAACAAAGGGGAAAGTGAAGTGAGTTGAGTCAAAACTATTATATATAAAAGAATAATATATAACTACTAGAAAACTATTAGCATTATAATTAAATAGTAACAGTGTCTTAAAACTTAAAGTTAGTTTCACAGTCATTTCAACTATGTAAAAATACACACTAAGAAAACAAAAGAACATAGCAAGGAATTTAGACCTAAAAAAGCTTCAGAGGTGCCTCAGTCGTCTCCTCAGTTCACCTAGAAATTAATCTGATGCTTTTGCAAACAAACACCACACACTTTGATTTCAGAGGCTGCATGAAGGGTGTGTGCAGGGACAGTCTGGAACTGGCCTCTTCGCACTATCCCAAACCTCCCACACCCTCAGCTCTCCTCCCCTAAACCCTCACCCAGCCACACACACCTCACACTTCCTGCGTCTCTAAGGACCCGGGACAATCCAGGTCTCCTCCCTCTCCAGCCCCTGCAGCCACCTCCCATGTCACCTCCCCACAGAGGCCTCCAGGACAGGAAGAAGCCCCCTCCTGCCTCCCCTCCCACAACAGCCTCACACACAAATCCACACTCTACACACACCTGTGTCCTCGGAGCTCCCTGCTCAGGATGGAGAGGACTCTAAGTGCTCACAGATTGCGCTCTCTCTCTCTCTCTCTCTCTTTCGCTTTCTCTCTCTCTCTCTCTGAGTCTCTCTCTCTCAGTCTCTCTGTCAGTGTCTCTCTCTCTCTGATTGGCAGCTCGCAGGGAGGCCCCGGCCCGCCGCGCTCACCTCCCCGCTGCCCTGTGATGCTCTCACCAGTCCCGCGGTTGTGCCTGCACACAGTGTCCACCGCGGCCCGCGTCTCCTCCATGTGGTCCTTCTGGCTGTTGAAGTGCTCCGCGATAGGCCGCCCCAGCTCCGTCACCGCCCGGAACTCCCCCACGTCGCTGTCGAAGCGCACGTGCTCCTCCTGGTTATAGATTTCTCTGTCCAGGTACCGCACCCGCTCCGTCCTGTTGAAGAAACGACGCTCAGGCTTAAACTGCCTCAGGAAACGTCCTGTGTGTACACGAACGATCCGGTCACGGGGGCGGCCCCCGGGAAAGACACCGACAGCGAGGCTGTCATCAGGGCTCCCGGGGGCCGGGGCGGGGGGCGCAGTGCGGGCTCTGGGAACCCTGACCGGCCCCACCCTCAACTCCCACCACGCGCAGGTCAGGGGCTCATCCTCCGTCTTCCTGAGGCGGACGGGGGCTGGGGGGCCGGGAGGGAAAACCGCCTCTGATCCCAAGTCTTTGGGCCCCTCCTGCCTCCAGCCTGTTCCGGAGACCTCCGAGCAGGAGCTGGAGGAGGATCCGCCCCGCCCCGCAGCCCGCGCCGCCTCCTCCTGGGAGCCTCCGCCCAGACACACTCTCCGCCCCTTCTCTCATCCCACAAGCTTCACCCGTTCCTTCAACAGCCCCACCGCGTTCACCCTGTGAGCACTTCCTTAGTGACGGCCTTGTGCCAACAAGGAGCCTTACACTGAATAATATCAAATGTGGAATCACTACGGAAATCTGAGGCATCTTAGCGAAAAGTAATTGCAGCAGCATCGCTGTTTGTGACTTAGAAGGGGGCAAGTTGTGAAAATAGAGACTGTGAGGACCAATAACTCATGAAAATGGCGAAAAATACTGCATAAGGCAAAAAATAAATATGAAGGTATTGAACTTGCATTGACTAAATGGATTCAACAAGAAAGTGATTGAATTTATGGAACTGTCTAGTTTTTTTGTAATGAAACAAGCAAAAATAAACCACAAAGAACTGAATGGGGCGGTGAGTGTATAGAAGATGTGAGTGTAGGATTTTCAGGAAGACCCCAGTGTGAACCAGTGCTCTCAGCCTCAGAACTGTTGACATTTTGGACCAGATAATTCTTTGTTGGTGACAGAGGCTGTTGTGAACACGGCAGGTTCTCTAGAAGTGTCCCTGGTTCTACTCATTAAATATCAGACGTAACCCCTGTTGTAACAACCAAACATTGCCACACGTTCCCCAAGGGTGATGGGACGGAGGGAAGGGGTGGTGAACTATGCCTGGGTAAGAACAATGGGTGTGACCGTCTGAAAAACTCTGTGTTGAACAAGCCACTATAAGTTATGGAGCAGCTGAGGATTAAATGGAAAAATATCCATTGAAAATCTTGGTCCTACATAAAACGAATGATTTATAGAATTCTGATCCCAATACAGTACTCTTTCCAGAAAATGAACTTGTTGAGGACCAAGATTTATTGATTTCCTTGCCTTACCAATCAGTCACCAAATCATATCATTTATCTTTCGTATCATCTTCTTTCTCTGCCACTGGTCCACTAATTATCTGTCGTAATGAATCACAACCGCAGCTATTTTATTCTTGTTTAATTTCCCAGCTAACTTGTTTATTCCAGTCTCCCAATCCCAACAACATTAGTAGGATTCAAATTACCAGCCTTGGCCAGAGGTAGAACTCTCCTTTTGGAGTCAAGTCCCCACAGAAAGGGAGAAACCAAGAAAATGACATTCTCATACAGACAGTTTACAAAAATTGAGCAGGTCCTCAGACTTTGAGTAAGACCTTCCTCACAAAACTCCCTTTGCCCTTTAGATATGATGGCAGAGAGGAGTGCACCCTGGATCAAACAGTGTGTATCTTTCTATTCTTAAATTATCTAAGCACTTTCTTTACAGAGATAAAGTTAAAAAATAGACGTGTGAAGTTGCTGTCACTGTATCTTACATGGTTAGCCCTGTAAGCATGGTCATAAGTCCCACTTCGGGTTGACAGATTTGGCAAATAAAACCAGAGGATGCCCAGTGAAATCATGATTGCCAATAAAGTATGGTTGTGTATCTGAAATTCACATTTAGCCAGGAACCTGTATTTTATTTGGCAACCCTAGCCTAACTGGCTCCTGAAACCTCAGAAGGAGTGACTTAATACTTCCTTGTGTTCTTCGACACATGCCATGATAGACATACAGAACTTTTAAAATGAATAAGTGCAAAATGAATGAAAATGAAAATGAGCTCAGGTAGAGCTCCCGAAACATATGAACTGAAGTTGGGTGAATCCATTTCTCTCTTTTTCACAAATGTGATGTCTTTTTTCTAACATTTTCTTCTTTGTTAAATGCTTATTGGGTTATTGTCTGCTTGTCTTCTGTTGTTTAACTTCCTTGAGAGTAGGGACCCTCTGTGTTTTAATCAAATAGAATGATTTGAACCTAGAGGGGAGCTTAGTCAATAGTTGCCACTGAGAAAAATAAGTGTGATTTACATGAACAAACCAGTGGTCTGGGAACTGATCACTGTGGAGATCCTGGAGAGCAAGAAGGGGCTCAAGCTCCAGCATCTTTTCATTTTAATGTCACACTGTCCCCCTTCTCTTCCCTGTGAGAAATACAGGCAAACTTCTTTCTCCTCTTTCTATTTGGTAGAAGAATTCACAGATAAGCAGTGATTTAAGAAAAAAGAATTTTTTTTTTTTTTTTGAGATGGTGTCTCACTCTGTTGCCAGGCTGTAGTGAAGTGGTGCAATCTTGCCTCACTGCAATGTCTGTGTCCTATATTCAAGTGATTCTTCTGCCTCAGTCTCCCGAGTAGCTGGGATTACAGGCACAGACCACCATGCTCAGCTAATTTTTGTGATTTTAGTAGAGAAGGGGTTTCACCATGTAAGCCATAATGGTCTCGACCTCTTGACCTCGTGATCGGCCTGCCTCATCTTCCCAAAGTGCTGGGATTACAGGTGTGAGCCATGGTGCCCAGTCTAAACTTTTGTGATTAAGATTCATCTCTTTTTGCTTGGGATTGGTAGCTCACATCTATAATCATAGAACATTGGGAGTCCAAGGCCAGAGGATTGCTTGAGTCCAGGAGTTTAAGGCCAACCTGGGTGACATGGCAAAATCTGGTGTTTACCAAAACTACAAAACTGAGCTTGGCATGGTTGCCTGCCTGTAGTCTTTGCTACTCTGGGGGCTGAGGAGGGAGGATTGCTTGAGCCTTAAAGGCAGAGGTTGCAGTGAGCCTAGATCAAGATCACACAATTACACTACAGCCTGGGTGATGGAGCCAGGCCCTGTCTCAAAAAAAAAAAAAAAAAAAAAAAAAAAAAAAAAAAAAAAATTATCTCTTTCAATGGATCTCATAATGCTAAGGTTCTGTGCAATGTTAAGAGATTTCTGGAAATGATGGCAACATATCTGGGGAAAAAATAGAGAGAAACTAGAGGAGGAGGTAAGCAGACATGGCTAATTAAGGAAAGCTAAGGGCATGATGGGTGAACCTATGAAATTTAGGACAAGACCCCAGTAAGCCAATGAGTTCCCAGGACTTGCTCATTGACTTTCAGCCCTATGCCATGTGAACAACATGCACATTCTCTCTGTAACCCCATACATTATGAAATTTCTGATATTTGACCATTTTTGACTTACAAAAATAGAATTTTTCATATAATTTATCCTATGTTAGTTGAGTCTCTTCTTGTCATGTCTAGTTAGAGCATGTAGGAGATGGAGGAGAGACTAGTATAGAAAGCTTTAAAAAGATTCATAAAAAACTAACCTGGGCCAGGTTTTCAGAGGATGCCTTAAGTTCTTTAGGCACCAAAGAATACCTCATAAATGCTCTTTACCTGTAGGGTGACTCCAAGTACTAAAGATCTCAGCTTCAGCTCCAGGGATGTTTCCCCATAAGAAAGTAAGTGCACTAAGTATCACTTTTGTCAGAGAACCTACATACACTACAGGGATACAGGATTTGTAAACATTGGAGTTCAGAAAGAAAAGAAAGGAGATACTGGGGAGACCCCCGGGTACATCCTCACATATGAGGAAGAGGGGTCAACACCAAAAGTCCTGTGGAGGATGTAACACAGGATCATCTAGGACAGACTCCTTGAATTCTGTTGACTCCCACAAAATTTTCAAAAAAACCCCCGCCTTTTGTCTGACATAAGTCCATATAATAAAGGTCAGTGCTGTATGGGGAATTTATTTTAGCATCCTTATTTCTAAATCCTATAAAGACCCTGAGGATATGTGATGCAAAGATTTCCTTGGTGGAAATTTCAGAAGAAATGGCCTGTATCGTGGCCCCTTACACAAGTCTCATGGAGAGGGCCAGTAGCCGAGCTCCTTTTGTGGAGGAAATTTGGGATCCAATGAAAAGATGGGCAATATCTGAAGAAAACATCACAAATTGTTAAGGGACATGGCCTGGGCACAATGTTAACAAAACTCCCTATTTTTCCCACCCCATGGTAGTAGCTCAGCACCCACAATGTGCACTTATGTAGGGTATCCCCAGCCAAAGCCAGTGGGGAGCTCAACACCATCAGTGTCACTGTCAGCGCTGCCATGCAGGAGCCTCCAGGGAGCCTCTGACACACCATGCTGGAGAACAGGACAGGACCAGGGGCCAGAGTAGCAGGCAAGTCTCACTCAGGGAGAAATATAACCCCCCTGTATCCACACTTCAAATTACAGTGAGGCAGCTACAGATTTACTTGTTCCTGGATTGGGTAATCTCATGTTGGAGAACCAATCAGCATCTGAAACCAATAGCATCATCAGTTGCTACTCAGTGATGCTGTATGAAGGTCCTTTTCTGAAACATAATTTCCCTTTCTAAAGGATTGTTATAATTTAGTACTTGAAAGGTTTGATGCAGTTACATGCGAAACACTTTAATTGGGACACTATTGTGAACCATCTCTGTGCTGGTAAGTGATGTGTTCACAAGTTTGAGCCTTGTAAGAGCATTCATTCCTCACTTGACAAGAGAACGGCTTCCAGGAGTGAATGCGTGAGTGTTTTAGGAATAAAAGTGATGGAGTGAACATGCTTGCAAATCAGGAGAGATTTAATCTTGTTCTTATTGCACCATATCTTAAGTTGTAGATTTGGGAAAATTACTTCATGCCTCACAGTTGAAATGAAGTCACTGCGATTCGTGTCTTTCAGTACTGGAAAATGCTGTGATGCTGTGGACACCTCAAGGAGCAGCAGCCCCGGGTATCTGATGACATGGCAGAATGACAGCTGTTGACTACAGAGTTTAATCTGTGCCTATTTCCAGGTAGGGATATCTTTAATAAGTTGAAGAAAATTCAAAGTTTGTTAATAATATAATCTGAGTAAAAGGGTTTTATTGTGTGTCTCCTACTGCTGCTTTAAAGTTTAGTGGTACCTTCAGAACCCACACAGGCAAGGGGCTTGCCGGGGCACCTATGTGCAATGGAGGGTCTAACGGTGCCTTTGTGTAGCACTTACTCTAACAATGTGATAAGATCAACTGTGCAACCAAAGTATTCAGGGGTGAGAGAGATCGATCAAGGACTCGACATCAGCTGTTTATACAACAACTCTTTTAAAATAAGTAATATTTCATGTGAAGATTGTGTAATCTCCCATTCCTGGTTTCCATTATGACTTCCTCATTTGATACAGGCTATGACCCTTTACCCTTATGCTTCTCTTGTTTACCATAAGGGAAGTTAAAAGAAGACTTTGCTAACCAATACTTCACAGAAT